TTTCAACTTTGCTCGAAAGTCCTGATCTACTTATTCAGTGGAATAAGCTCCACTTTTGCCACGAATATATTCTCGAATCATTCATTTATTTATCATATCGAATCATTGCATTTTCTTTTGTGAATTAATTTTCGAAAAAAAAAATTTTTTCATTTCTTGCGACAATTTCATTCTCAAAAATGCAATAAAAGACAATTTTTTTATTTGTTGTTTTATTGTTTTAACAAGTAAAGATATTTTTTTTACTTGTCCTATTTTATTAACACTGAGACATTTTTTTACTTGTTTAATTTTTTTAACAATAAGACATTTTTTTACTTGTTTTATTGTTTTAACAATAAGACATTTTTTTACTTGTTTTATTTTTTTAACAATAAGACATTTTTTTACTTGTTTTATTTTCTATTTAAGTTATAATTGCTCGCATTTAAAAATAAAATCTATTGTCTGAAAAAATAGATTTTCTACTTAATTGAAATTTACAACGAAATTTAAAGTCTGACGACTACAATCGACATTTACTACTTCCACTTCAACTAAATAAATCTAAACAATTAAAAACGTCTTGTCTGACTTAAATTGACGTTTACTACTCGAACTGAAACTAAAACAAATTTAAAACCTTTTGTCTGGACGAAATGGACTGTTTCTACTGGGACAAAATTTACAAATTGTATTATATCATCTTTCTAGTTTCCCTTGAACATATTATTCAATTAACAACTTACAATCCTGTTGTCTAAAACTGTTCTTATCCACTAATTACTATATTGTCAGATAAAGTTGCACTTTTTTTCTATAAATTCTTTTTCTTCCAAAAGTAGTGTGTCACTTAAAATTAAAATTTCCCGACAAAATCAAGCCTTTTCTAATTAAAATTTTGTTTGTTAAAAACTTAAAATTATTGTCTTTCCAATTTCTAAGTAATTGATTTTTTTTTCAAAAATTATTTTTGATTTTGAATTCTTGATTTGTTTTTCTCATTCAATAGAGAGTTGACTTTTCCAAAAGGAAAAACCTAGTTTACTACTTGGGAGAACCTTTTAATAGTTTAAGAATTCATGAATTACCTCTGGGAATTACAGTTGGAGTTCAACAATGATTGTGTATATCTGGTCAAATAATTTTGCTTTCCGGGATCCAATGAAATATAAACCGACAAATGTATCTCTTTTTTTCTATTTTTATACCTTTAGAAAATTTTTTTTATATTACAAAAGAAAATTTACATTAAAAAGTGTTTGAAAAAATTTAATTAGAGAAAGAAATATATTCTTCTTTCGGAAAAATTTCAATTAGAGAAAATAATTAAAATAATGAATAATGGACAATGAATAATTAATATAATTATAAAATAATCCTGTATTAAAATGTTTTTTCTACAGCTATAGTGATGAATTTCAATTCATTAGGAGTGGAATAATAAAAAAAAGGATGTACGAAAAACCTAAATTATTGAAGGAAGCAGGTATAACACAATTAGGGGGCTATGGAAGGAAGAAGTATAGACAAAAAGGGGGATCCAAAGGAAAAGAAAAAAAAGAATGTCTCACTTAATTAAAAAATCAACGAAGCATTAAAAAGATCGGATGTAAGATAATCGAATTAGGTAAGATTCTAAGTAAATTTTCTTCATCAACTCAATTAACTGGCAACGGACTCATTCCCTTTTATCTTTCTCTCTGTAACCACGCAGCACTTTCCCTTGGTATCTCTTATGAAGAGTGTCTCTTCGATTTTCCACGTTGGTATATAATGGCAATACTCGTCTAATCAACGCTCATGGAAGAATCGTCGTCAACTTTAATTGCATTCACTGCTGGATATAATAGATGACGTATAACACAATTAACCGCCTCTCTCTCTCTCTTTCTTTCTCTCTCACTCTCAAATCTCTCAATCGAGCACATAATTTTTTTTTTCTCTGCAGAATTTCTCCTAATGATAGTACTTTTGTTCATAAAAAATTCATCACTACAGACTCAAATGGTCGTTAACGTTAGAGGAAAATTAAGAAACGAGATTTTCAGTAATTGCGAAACTACATTTTTATTATGAAAAACTCTCCACTAAATATATACCTCTTGCCATTAACTTTAGATTTTATTTTTTTTTGTCAGAGTTTTTAAAACATTATTATCGATTTTTTTCATACAAAAGTAATGAGCGTGCCTATTTTTTATACTCGAGAAACATAGACCAAATTTTTGAAAAATAAAAAAAAACAATAAAACATTTTAAAAAAACATCAATTTAAAACTATAAAATTGATATAACTGAAAAAATTACGAAATCAAAAGAAACAAAACTGTTTGTTTCACTTTCAATGGAAAATTTCACACTTAAATTTATTTTATATTTATCTTCTTACTGTCAGAGAAAATAAAATAAAAAAAACAATTTTCAATTTTACGTTAAGCGATGAAATTATATTTTGTTTAAAAAATTAATTACTATTACTTATAGTTCTTTGTCTAAATGAATATAACCTTTAAACATACTTAAGAATTTAGTTTGTGAAATTTTTTTTATATTATTATTATTGAAATTTTAGATCTAGACTTGTCTGACAGGAGCTGACCTTTTCTACTCAAACTGAATACGGTAAAGAATTTAAAAGTACGGTCTGACTACAAATTGACATTTACCACTTGGTTTCATTTAATTTAAAACTACTAGATTTTGAAAAGTCCTACTACCTACTAAGATGTAAATAAATTTCTGCTACTATCACTAACTACTTAGACAATTACAAATAAAATGTTCTTATCAATTTCAAAAACAATAGAAAATATTTTATTCACTTGTTGTTTTTGTTTAATTCATTGCTCACATTTTTAAAATAAAATCTATTGTCTGACTAAACAGGAGAATTTTTACTTAAATGCAATTTACAAAGAAATTTAAAGTCTGACTATAATCGACATTTAGTATTTCCACTTCAACTAAAAGAATTTAAACAATTAAAAAAAACATGTCTGACTAAAATGGACATTTACTACTTAAAATGAAACGAAAACAAATTGAAATTTTTTGTCTGACAAATTTGCACTTTCTCTACTGAAAAATTTAATATATTTTTCTTAAATTAAATCAAAATGTTTCGAAAAATTTCAACTGTGTAAAAAAAAATTTCTAAAAATAAAAAAAAAAAATGAATGAAAACCTGAGTTTTTTCAGAAAACAAGAAAATTCACTTTAACACTAATGATGTCTGAAAAAGTACAACTTTTTCTACTATAAAATTTTTTTTACTATTTTTAATAATATTCATAATAATAATTCTTAATTAATAATAATTTTTAATTTTAATAATTATTAAGTTTAATCATTTTCCCTACTACTAAAGAGTCTATGCACTTGAAACTATAGTTGTCTGACAAGACTGTCCTTTTTCTACTTAAAACTGAAATTTATTTAAATAAAACAAAATAAAATTCTGCAATCAAAAATTTTTGTCTGCCAAATTGGCATTTTTTCTACTTAACAATTATTCTCTTCATTATTTCTCTTTAATTAAATATTCTCTGAAAGTTCCACTTTTTTACTACTAAAAATATCTTGCCTGTCAATGCTTTTTATTTTCTACAGGAAATGAATTTTTTATAAATAAGAAAATTTACATTAAAACAGTGTATCAAACATCAAATATTGTTTAAACAAAATTTTACGTCATTTAAAAAAAGAATTTCAAAAATATTTTTTCTCCCAAGATAAAAATATATCAAACATAAAATTATTTTAAAAATTTCACCTTTATCACAAAATTAAAATTTCTAAAAATAAAAAAAATGGTTAAAGGATAAAAAATCTATATAATTTTTTTTTAAGTTGTGAAAAAATTCCAAAAGAAATTTTAATTGGTTTAAATTTCACTGCGGTGATTATTTCGAAATTCGACATCTTTCTACTAAAACACGGTGATACCTACTCTTAAAAAGTAAAAATTAATTTTTAGTGATTCTTAAAAATCAGTAGTCTGACGAAAAGTGCAATTTTCTACTTAAACGAAATGTACCGAAAATTTACAGTCTGACTATAATCGACATTTACTACTTCCACTTAAACTAATTGAATCTATAAACAATTAAAATCGTCTAGTCTGACTTAAATAGACGTTTACTACTGAAACTAAAACTAAATCAAGTTTAAAACCTTTTGTCTGACGGAAATGAACTTTTTCTACTGGTACAAAATTTACTAATTGTATTATATCATCTTTATAGTTTTTCTCTAACATATTATTAAATTTACAACTCACAACCTGTTGTCCGACTAAAACTGTTCTTATCTACTTTAAAACTAAATTTACCACATAATTTAAAGTCCTGTCTGACTGTAATAAACTTTTACACTGCTTAGAATAAAAATAAAAATCAATTACAAGTATTTCGTATGATTAAAATCGATCTTTATTACTTAAAAAAAAATTGTAAATAAATGAGGAAAATCTGTTTTAAAATACACGCACGTGAATATTTGAAAAATAAAATCATTAGAATTTCAACAGTGGCTCCTTCTGTCGCAAATGCTGCGTATTGTTCTCGACCGATAACTCTCAGTTACCTTCGCGTTTATGTTGAATACTCGCGGTGTCGACATCTATTTTAAAATTTCTGTATTCGCTAAAATAACATAAAAATAATATTTACAAATTTTACCGACTGTAATCAATTTTTACGAATTTATTTACCACTAAAAGTAAATGTAGAGAGGAAAAAAATTTTTATCGATTTTTTATTTTTCTTAATAAACAATATAAATTATTTAACATACTACTTTTAATAATAAACTAATTCTTAAACTAATTAAGAAATATTATTTTAGTTCCATCATGATCGTTGATGATTTTTACTTAATTGTAATAAACTGTGATTAATAATATAAAATTGATAATAATTATAAATAATTTTATAAAGTTTCATTAACAGCTTGTACGCTTAAATAGAAAATTAAAATTATTTTTTTGTCGGGACAATAATAATTAATAATCATAAGAATAATAATAAAAATAATTATAATAATAAAAATAATTAGAATTATATGTATAAATATAAAAGTAGTGTCTGCAAAGTTTATACAAAGTGTATAGATAAAAATTTATACAATGTAAATTTAATAATACAATAATAATTTAATTACTCGTAAATATAAATTTTTATAAACTATAATCATATAAAATTATAAACTCAATGAAAATGATTTATAAATTTTTAATATTAGATTATAAATATAATTTTAGACATTTTCATATTGATTTTTTGGATGTATCATTGAAAACAAATAATCATCATTATCGTAAAATGTTTTTGCATTCAATGAAATTGGCATTATTTGTTTGGCGTCAAGATTTTTTTTACCCAAGAAATTTAACGGTAATTGTGATTTTTCATGTAAATTAATTGTCGGTACATAAGTGGGATATTTCAGTCGAAATATTGGAATTGATTTTTCATGGAGATTTTCCACTCCTCTCAATGGTTCAACGGCAATAATTATTTCGGCTTCATTTTCCTCATCGAGAAACTTTTGATCCGCATAAAGTTCAATGGGAGCGCAAAACACTCCGGCAATATTCAACAATAGCAGAAACTGTAAATTTCGAAAATATTCTTATTTTTTTCAATTGTTTTTATCTTTTGAATTAAAAAATTTTTTTTTTTAATATATATATAATATAATATATTTTTTTTAATACAACCTCTAAAAAGTTTTGACAAAATAAATCACTTTAGAGAAAATACATATTATTTTTATAAATATAAACAAAATGATTGAATATAATTGAAATTATTATTTATTGCGCCTATGTGAACATAATTAATTTCAAAATTAATCAAAAAGATAATTTTCTGTAAAAGAATGTATTTTTGAAAAAAGTAAATAATGGTCTCCACTCGATGGCCACGGTAAATAATCCAGATTCTATTGTTTACACTTCATAGAATTAGAATAATAAGAGAATCATTTATTCACTGATATCAATGTCGAACAAGTTGAAAATAACAATAACATTGTAGTAAGTGTAATATCAATTCACTGCACATTTTCAATTTATTATATTTATCATTTTTAATATTATGTCATTATTAATAAAATTTTTTATTCTTTTCCATTTATTTACTTTTTTTAACTATTAATTTTATGATTTTAAATTTATTTAGTTTTTCATTTCGATTTTTAAATTCTTTACAAGGAAGTTAAGAAAATGGATCAAAATTACCGAAAAAAATATCGTCAAAATAATGAAAGTAACAAAGTAACAAAATATCAAAATAACAAAATAACTAAGTAAATAAATCATAAAATAATATAACAATAAACCAATATAACAAAATTAAAAAGAATAAAAAATGGAAATCCAGAAAAATTGAATTATAATAAAATAATAAAATAACACAATTTAAAATAGAATAAAATATCAGAATAACAGAAAAACAATAAACCAAAATAAAAAAATAAAAAAATTAAGAAATGAAAAATTAGAAAAATAACAAAACAATGAAGTAACAAATATAATTAATACTAGAACAAAATATTAGAATATCAAACAAAATAATAAAAAAAACAAAATAATGAAATAACAAAAGAAGAAAGTAACAAAATAATAATAAAACAAAATAATGAAGTAACAATATAACAAAAGTACAAAATAATGAATTAAGAAACATAAAAATAAAAATAGATCAAAATAAAAAAATAAAATAGGAAATTCGAAAATAACATTCTAATTATTAATATAAAATTTTGTAACTCTCTACTCTCACCTCGATCATGTTTCTTCGAAGATTCTCCTGTAACTATCCTCGGAATCTTCTCGATTTTATATCTGTATGCCAATACCGGTCTCTCTTTCTCTCTCACTCTCTCTCTTTCTTTGTCTGATCAACAAGAATCTACCCATAAAACATATTCATAAATTCATTTCAGGCAAACTATAAAATTTCAATAAAATATTTTTTTTTTACCAAAAACCATCTTATTTTGAAGCTAAAATGTGAAAATTATTTTCAATTTTTTACTTCACGTGAGACTATAAAAAAAAAATTATTTATTGTAAAAAAATATCTTTTTTCTAAATAATAAATTTTTCCACTTTAGTAGGCAGATTGTAATTTTTTCTGCTCTTTTCTTTTCTAAAAATAAAAATCTTATTCAAGAGCATTTTGTAAAAGTTTATGTCATTATCTTTTGTGTATATAGATCTTTCTCTTTCTCTCCTCGTGAAATGAATTGCCTCTGTGCGTATATATATATATATATATATATATATATATATATATATATATATATATATATATATATATATATATATATATATATATATAATTGACACTCATTTTCCCATGAGAGGCGAATAAATGATATAGCGTAGGTGTTTTCAGAAACTTACAAGTTCCTTGAACTTGCCATTTCTTCAAGGTCAATCCTCAAAGATCGTCGATCCACGTAGAAATAATAATGATTTTCTTTTTGATACATTATTTCCAATTTTATAAATTCAATTATTTAGGAAATGCAAGAAATTGAGTAATTTTTTCTCTAAATTTTCTATGATAATGTTTTACTATTCCTCACAAAAATTTGGAGAATTTTTATTTTCTGTAAAAGCTAATTAATATTAATCAGCTTAAACTATTCGAATAAATTAAGCTAAATTAATTTAATTAATTAATTAAAAATAATTAATTAATTTAGATTTAGATTAATCAATTAATTTAGATTAATATTTATATTGTCTGTACACAGCTGGTCTTTTTCTACTTAAAGTATAGATTTATTTTAATAAAACAACTCGTATCTTCTTGGATCTAAAATTTCCGTCTGTCCAAGTCGCACTTTTTCTACTTAAAAATTAAAATTTTTCGAAATAGAACAAGTTTGATAAGTTTAAAGAAATTTTGGATTGTAAATGAATTACGTTTTTCAATGAAAACCTGATTTTTTTTACAAAAAACAATAAAACCCACATTAGCACTAACATTGTCTGACAAAGTACCACTTTTTCTACTTAAAACAATTTTTTCTACTATGAATGAGTCTATGCACTTAAAAGTATAATTGTCTGACTAGACTGCACTTTTTCTACTTTTTCTACTTTATTATAAACAAGAAAATTCACAATGTCGTTTGGTAAATTTGTATTTTTTCGACTTAAAATTTTTTGCCACTAAAAACAGTGTATGGAGTTAAAAATATAATTGTCTGGCGAAGTCGAACTTTTTCTACTCAATTTTTTTATAGAAAACTTAAAACTATAAGAGTCTGAAAAATTCGTACTTTCTCTACTTGAAATTTATTTTCTACTTTAGTTCTCTTAAATTAAATATCGTCTGATAATAGATAATATTGATAATTACAAATATTTCTACTAAAAATAAATATTTATTTTAATGCAACAAATTTACCTCCCTGGATCGAACATTTTTGTCTGACAAAGATCCACTTTTTCCACTTAAATTTTTTTTCGATCAAAAAACTAGTTATCAAATATTGAATTGTTTTAAAAAATTTCACCGTGTTTAAAAAAATAAAATTTCTAAAATATATTTTCCTACTAAAAAAAATAGTGTATGAAATAAAAGTATTTTAAAAAATTTCACCATTTTCAAAAAAATAAAATTTCTAAAATATATTTTTCTACTAAGAAAATAGTGTATGAAATAAAAGTGTGTTAAAAAATTTTACCTTTTCCAAAAAAATAAAATTTCTAAAAATAAAAAAATCCTTAAATATTAAAAAATAGGCAAAGTTGAACTTTTTCTACTTAAGAATATTTAAATTTTTTAATGAGAATTTAAAACTATAATTTTCTAACTTGAAACTTTTTCTACTTAAAAAAGTTTCTTTAATCGAAAGAGCGTATGCACTCAAAACTATAATTGTCTGACAAGGTCGAACTTTTTCTACTTAAAGTGGAAATTTATTTTAATACAAAAAGTTTATATTCTTAGATCGAAAATTTTTGTCAGAGAAAATTGTACTTTTTCTACTTAAAAATTAGAAGACGTCCAAGATGGACAAATTTATTATAAGTTTTAAAAAAAAATTTTGCGCAGTCAATACATTACGTTTTCTACTTAAAATAAAAATTCTTTTCTTAGAAACAAGAAAATTACTATTGTAACCAATATTGTCTGACAAAGTTACACTTTTTCTACTTAAAATGTTTTTTCTGCTAAAAACAATGATGCACTTAAAACTATAATTGTCTGTCAAAGACGCACCTTTTCTACTTAAAAACAAAACTTCTTTCTTTATTTCTCCTACTATTGTCTGTCTATGAATCGCTTTTTACACTTAAAATTTTTTTTCTCCTACAAACTGAAAACTACAAAATGTCTGACGAATACTCTTTTTCTACTAGAAAATAAAATTTCTTGCCCTATTTCTCCTAAATTAAATATTGTCTATCAAACCTGACATTTTTCTACTTCAAAAATTGATAAATCTTTTATTATTATCCAAATAAAAAAATGGTATATCACAGAAAATAAAAAGTGTTTTTTCTGTGTAAAAAACTTTTTCTGTGTAGAAAAATTTTCTCGAATGGAAATATAACATCAGGAAAAAAAATCTCAATCACAAAAAAATATAATTTATCCATATAGAAGAAAATTTCGGAACAATTTTAAGGAAATAAGAAGAAATGATTTTTTTCGTGACGTTGCGAGAATCAATTATTATTCGATCGCTACATTCGTATAAAATTCGTGACGCTGTGTGGTATAAATATTATTTTACAAGGCAAATAAAATCGACGAGAATAAATCCATCTTTAAGCCAACGGTATATTTACATGATATTTTTTAGCAGTTTATGAAATTCACTTTGATGACGTCCGTACTTATGGTGATTTAATGCTTTCACGTTTATTTACAAAGTGTTTATGATTAAAATTTCATTTTAATCTTTAAACGCGTTACATTGAAAATTGAAAACCAATTTTGCAAACGACTTTTATCATTATTAAAAGGTTATTGACTATATTTTGTTTTCGAAAAAGTAATTTATATCATTTTTAGAATTTTTAACAGATCAGTTCCAAGACAAAAATTCATTTAGTGGATTTTGAAATTTTTTAAAAATCAATTCCGAGGTTATATGGAATTTCAATAAATTTTTGGATTTTTAACTTTATCAAAGATTAATTTCGAGCAAGTGGAAAATAAAAAAATTGATTGAAATTATATATAAAATTTTTGAATGAAATTGAATGATAATGTATGAAAGCTTGAATGAACTTCTTCTTTTTCTTATTCTATTTAAATTCTTTTTATTCACGAGTGGTTTATTGGCAGCTTTTTTTAATAGAACTGTAACCCCAGGTAAGATACATCGATGTATAATGTGAGAAATAACAATGGCGAGGTTACGGTTTTGTACTTACTTTTTTATTATTTATTTACCTTGACGTCTCATCAAGTGACGCGATGTAAAATGCTTTTCTATTCATAGATATTATCGAGTACCTGTAGCATATAATGCACATTAAAAAATGATAGGGCATTTAGCATTCTTCAAATCGATATTTAAGATTTTTTAATTTCCTTTCATATTGTATATTTAGAACTGCCGTTATAAAAAATTTCCATTACACTTAAAAAAACATAGGAGCTTTCCTTCTATTCTTCTAATTTTCTCCCAAAGAATTTTATCAATTTTTATTCCTCCAATATCTTATCTCTTAACTAATTTCCAAAATTTCCATCTTTATTTCTAAAAATAGTAAAATTATTTATTAATCAAAATTATTTAATACAATTTAATTAAAATATATTCAGACATCAAATTATATTTAATATCTTTCAAAAAATTAATATATATTACATTTTATCCCCTTTTCAGGAATCAAAAATACAGAATAGATAAAATTCAAAAATTCAACGATACAGTGTCAGAAATTACATATAGATAAAAATAGTCGCAATAAATAATTCTCATAATTCACCGAAAGTAACAATTTTCATAATTATATATAAGTCGGTAATTAATAATTAGTCTCAATAAATAACATAAAAGTCCAATTAAGAAATTTTTTTTCCTGCAGTAAATATTTAAATATTGTTTATGTGTTAGTCAACAAATATCTTCTGGACGACAAGTATATTGAATTAAATGACCGAAATAATAATTCGAAAAAAATTTTTGAGGCTAGATTAGTAGCGAAAAAAAAATTTTTTTTTACTCTTCAGAAGAAGAATCATCAACAGGGTAGCAAGAGTCGGATGATGAGGAAGTTGACTCCTGACATCTTGAGCAAGAACAAGTTTCACTATATTCACTAGCTGATGATCCCGAACTGTCATTACAACACGAACATTCACATAGTAATGAGCAATCACAATCGGGACAGTAACAAACATCTGATGTTTCTTCATCACTACTCGAACTTGATTCAGTATCTGCCTGTACTGAATTTACTTGAAAAAAAAATATTCATTAGAAAATTGATTTAAATGTCCAGAAATTTATGTGAAATTACAAAATCATTGTAAAATTCAATTATTTTTAAAAGTAATAAAATTCTTAACAGAAATTCAATTCTGTTCAAAATTTTTTTTAAATTCTCGTCAAAATTTCAATTATCCTTATAAATAATAAAATTCTTCTCAGAAATTCAATTATTTTCAAAAATTTTCAAAAATTTAATGCTTCTCAATATGTATTATTTTCATAAAGTAATAAAAATTTCACAGAAATTCAATTATGTAAACAAATTTTTTATAAATTTCTCAGCATTATAATTCAATTATTTTTTTTTATTAAAATTAATTGAATTCTAGTAGAATTTTCTAATAAAAATTGATTTAAAAATGAATTTCAGTTAAATACAAATGGATTTAAAAATTCTCAAAAAACTGTTTCAAAAATTATTTAAAATAATGGATTTATAGAAAACTTTTAGTTAACACTAAAAAAAAATTTAAATTTTAGAGAAATTACAAATTATTGCAGAAATTCAATTGATTTCAAAAGTTATAAAATTCTTTTAGAGAAATTCAATTCTGTTTAAAACTTTTGTTTAAAATTCTTGTCAAAATTTAAATTATTCTTACAAATAATAAAATTCTTCTTCGAAATTCAATTGTTTTTTAAAAATTTTCCTCAATTTAATGATTTTCATTATCTATTATTTTCATAAATAAAATTTTCACAGAAATTCAATTATTTACAAATTTTTTATAAATTTCTTCGCATTATAATTAAATATGCTTTCCTGCCTTAAAATAAGACTTTCTTTTTACTGTGTAGTAATGATTCTAGTGAAATTCTATAAAATTTTTCCCTTATTACTAATTTTAATAATGTTTTTAAATATAAATTATAAAAAATAAAAAAAAAACTCACTGTATTGTTGTAATTCAGGATGGACAACATCAACATCGAGCTTCTTCAATTGTTTCAGAGCATAATTATTAATTTTACCCACTGCTTTGGCCATTTTTTTCTGATCACGCTGTTCTTTTCTCTTACGTGCTGCTTCACGTTTACTCACTTTTACTTTTTCTGTAAAAAAAAATTCATGAGAATTGCTTATACAAGAAACTGTTGTTTCAATTAAAGATAAAAACTTTAAATCTATAATTAAATTTTGATAATTGAAAATTTTGTGAAAAAAAAAAATTACAAAAATGAATAAAACAATTTTTTTTTCTTTTTCTTCTTAGACGAACCTGTTGGTTGAGGAGAAATATGAACTTTTGCTAATGCTTCACTAATTTCGTTCAATTTATAATTCTCTTCTTTTTCTTTCAGTGGTGAAAACGAAGATGTAGAAGCAATAGCCTGATTGACTTTGGGTGTCGAACATTTTTCCGCAAGATTGAGAGTAACTTCAGAATTTTCAGAAGGTTCGGACATTTCTAATGAAATTGAAGGAAGATGTAATGTTTCATTTTCAGTCCGATCTTCATTTTGGATTTTTAAAGTCTCTTCATTCTGTGCTGACAGTCGTTCCTCTATTTCTTCTTCTGCTTCTTCTTCTTCCTCCTCTTCTTTTTCTGTTTCATCGTCACTTTTTTCTTCTATTTCTTCTTGTTCAACTTGTTTTTCTTTTTCTACTTTTTCCGTTTTTTTATCGTCTCTTTTTTCTTGTTCGACTTCATTTTCTTCTTCTTCGTCTTCTATGACTTCTTGTTCTACTTCTATTTCTTCATCTTTTTCTTCTTTTTCTATGTCTTCTTGTTCGACTTCTATTTCTGCTTTTTCTACTTCTTCTTCGGCTTCTCGTTTTTCTTCTTCTATTTCTCCTAATTTCTCGCCTTCATCTTCTTCTAAAAAATAAAAAATAACAAAAATAAAATAAGAAATAAAATAAAAATTTATTTTCTTGTGAAAAACGTTAAATAGTATTTTTTTTCTACTAGAAATACAACTTACCAATAAAAGTAGAAGAATTTTGTATATTTTTGCAGATTTCTTCAAAAGATTGTAGATCCTGTCCTTCCTCGATTAATGCTACTGATGATGAATTTGGGTTTTTAATGTTGATTGACACTTCCTCATTAGCATTATCAGTTTCCTTATAATTTTCTATTCCCTCAAAGGAAAGTGCTTCGTTAGTTTCCATATTCGAATCATCCTGTAAATTTTTGGGGATTTTTTTCGATTTCCTAGAAATTTTCTTCTTCTCTGTTGAAACGTGTTCAGAAGTCTTTGATTTCACTATGCCTTTGGTTTTCTTCTTTTTCGTGACATTTTCTTTTTTCTTCGTTACATTCTTTGTTATTTCATCGTCTGTTATTTCTTCATTTGCTATTTCTTCGTTTGTTATCTCTTCATTTTCCTCCAAAAATGTCGTATTCATCACATCCAAAGTGGCCTCCTTACTTACATTTTTAGAATTTTTTTTCGTTTTTTTTAAAATCTTTTTCTTTTTCACCACATCCAAATCAACATTCAATGCTTTTTTCTTCTTTTCCTTTTTCTTTTCTTCTATTTCTTTTTGCTCTGAAAAATAATTCGTAAATTTATTAACAAAAATATTAACAATAACAATAACAATAACAATAATAAGAATACTAATAAAAAAAATAATAATAACGACTATCATAATAATATTTATTATAATTAAAATTGTATTTATAATAAAAATGATGATAAGAATATTATTATTAAAATTGTAATTATAACAAAAAATGATTATAATAATTATTATTATACAAATATTAATAAAAATAATAATAATAAAAATATTAAATGAATTTTCTGATTTGTAAAGATTTGTTTACATACCACCGGAAGCTTCAATAATTTCTTCCTCATCATTAAATATTTCTTCCAACGGCTGATTAATAACATTTTTTTTCGGTTTAATATTCTCTTTTTCAGTCCTAACTGTCAATGAATGATCAATTTTTTTTTCTGCTTTTTGTGAAGATTTTTTCTCAACTTGAGAATTTTTTTCCTTAAATACTGATTTGAGCAAGCACTTTGGAGACTTAACTTTTTTTTTACTCATTTCAATACAAAAATCTTCTAAATCAGATTCCTGAACATCGAGAGCAATTCTAAATGCTCGGTAATCATCTTTTTTGAACAACTTTTTCTTCACTGCATTTGTATCTTCGGTTTGGGAATTCATAATGTTTTTTCAAGTCCTATTTTTTATCACTATCTTATTATTTTCCACTGTTTTTTTTTTAAAGTCTTCAACTATATCACTTTCACTATTTTACTATTTTTCAGTTTTTATTAAAAAAAAAAGTCTTCAACTATATTATTTTTCAATGTTTATTTAAAAAAAATGTCTTCAACTATATTATTTTCACTATTTTATTTTTTTACTGTTAATTTTAAAAAAATTACTACAACTATATTATTTTCACCTGCCCGCAGGTTTTACACACAATAAGACTCCAATTTTAAAAATATATATTTATTATCAAATTTCCAAATTTACTCATAAATAGAAAAATTTGTTTGTACACTTTCTTTCCACGAACTTACTGTCTTCAGTGTCGGGACAAAATTAAATATAAAGTTGTTTATCGTCAAAAGAAATTCAATATAAATATTGAAAATTATAATAGAGAAATTTTTCTCTCAATTATTGACGTAGTTATACGTCACAAGCGTTTATGAAAATTCTTCGTACCTTTTATTTTTCATCTTATATTCTCTGTAACGTCACTCTTAAAAATCAATGCTCGCTTGTAGTGCATTTTTTTCACCTGTTTTTATGTAATACGTAATTTTTTCGACTTTTTACTCATTCTTCTTGACGTCATCAAACTGTGAATGGAGATTGTTGTGTCAGTAGAGTGTGAAGAAAATTATTTTACTTTCCATTTTTACCCCCTCTTCAATTTTTTTATTAGATAATAGAATAGAAAAAAAATTATAATAACTTGAATTATTCTTTTTTAAGAAAGAAATTTTTGTTCTTAAAAAAAAAATTAGAGAAAAATAATAATTCAGAATATAATACATATATATATATATATATATTGAGTATATTGGATGAAAATTAAATGTAACAGCCAATAAATTGAAAATGTATTTCAATGTATGTTAAAAGTATTTCGCAGAATCGTGGGCTTCAGAAAGGAAAATCTAAGTTTAATAATAAACAAAACAATGCTTCAAATTTTGATTCATAGAAAACTGACGTCATCCGATTGAGAATTGGCATTGTCGATTAACTGCTAACTTTTCTTTAACAACAAACACTTTTTCCAAGAAATAAACTTTTTTTGGAAATTTTTCTTCTCAAAAAAAAAAAATTAAAAATAAAATTAAAAAATTGTAATTTTTGCAAAAAAAAAAATTTTGCAATTATAAACAATATAATTTAGAAGTTAAAGTTTTTTTTTCATTTCCATAATTTTATTTCAATTGGAAATCAATCATGAACTTTAAAGAAAAAAAATCATTCATTTCCTTTATATTTCAACGATTGATTGTTGATTCATAATATTCGTTTACCTTCACCTACTATTTAAAAGGTCTCCTTCTCTCTCGTAGGTATTTATTTGTTCGACTTTTCTAAAAAAAAAAAAATAAATCTTAGACCTTTTCAATAAATGACAATGGAACCACGCACAGAAAAATTTGCAATTATTTCTTCCATTTCCAGCTAAAAATAAAAATAGAATAGCTCGAAACAAAAAAAAAGGTTGAATTGTAAAAAAAAAGTTAATAATAATTACAAAAAAAGAGTGTTGACAATTTTTTCCAAGAGAAAAATTGTCCTGAGTGGTATTTATATTTTTTTTATTATAAATATCAATTGTACAAAATTTTATATAATATTAACATTTTTATTATCCACTTATAATGTTAAAATTATTAAAAAAAAAAAAAAATTTTCTGCCACACAATAGTCCATACTTGTCAATAAATTTTGTTTGACATTTTTCATTCTTTTAATCAAGTTTTGTTTACTTCGTACTGAAAAGTATAGACGCCCACATTTCAGTTATACGGATATTATTCATCATTGTTCTATACGGAATATTGATTTTCATTAAAATCTTCCCATTCCATCTATATGTTGTATATATTTATTCTTTTTCACATTAAGATAAAAATTGTAATTTTATAAATGTGTCTCATAATGTCAAAGTTTTTGTTCATTGTTGTATTTTTTTGCATAATTTTTTTTATAATAAAAAGCACATAATTATAGGTAACTATAAATATTTGAATATCACGTTAGAAATAATACCCATATTTTTTGCTTTGATAAATTTATTTTTTAAAAGTATGAAAATTATCGAAACAAAAATATGTGCAAAAAATATACTTTTATAGAGAGCGAAATTTATTTTAAAGAAAATTATCTTAACGAAAATATTGTTAATGAACAAAATTACAAAAAAAGTAATGAACAAAAAAATAACAAAATAAAAAAAACGATAAAAAGTAAAAATACTAACGAAAACAATACTAACGAAAAAAATAATTGTTTATTACAATTGTTTATTGTTTTATAATAATTTATTTATTTATAATTAAGTATCTAGTAAAAAGCCTCAATAAAAATTTAGTTAACAGACAAAATTAAAAAAATTAATAAAAAATGTTAACAAATTAAGAACAACTGTAATAAAAAAATATGACAATTGTTTATCAAAATTGTTTGTTTATTAACAATAATTTGTATATTTGTACTTAAGTTTGTAGTAAAAAGTCCTAATAACAAATATAGTTAACGAAAAGCAAAAGAATTGAAAGTAATTAACAAAAAAATAAACAAAGACAAGAATAAAAAATATAATTGTTTATTAAAATCGTAATTTTATTTAGTTGTAATTAAGTGTATAGTAAAAAAGTCTAAAAAAAATGCCTCATAAACTAAAATGAGAAATAAATTATAAATCGTTATTAACAAAAAAGTAACAATAATAAAAGAAATAATAATTATTGTTTATTAATTAATAATAATTTGTTTATTGGTACTTAAGCCTGTAGTAAAAAAACATAATAAAAAATATAGTTAACAAACAAAAGTAAGAAAAAATAATAAAAATCATAGTTAACAGAAAAATAACAATGTAACAGAATAAAAAAAAATAATAATTATTCGTCAAAACCGTTTATTCTTAATTAACAAACTAATAAAAAATTCTAATAAAAAATACATCGAGAATAAAAAATACAGTTAACAAACAAACAAAAAATGATTTGAAACAATTAGCAATTCGAAAAACGAAACTAAAAAAAAAATTTTAAATATGCTCAGAAACAAACTCATGTTTAATACATTGAATATTTTTTTAAATTTCTTTTTAAGTGTTTTTTTTTGCACTGGAATAAAGTGGTGTGTTTTAACATGTAGCGACACTGATTTTCCAACCCCCTTTATGAACCACGACTGCGCGACGTCTGAGTCTATAAAAGCATGAGGAGGCGTCGCGACGCCTTCAAACGCGAATCACACGCGTATTGGTGAAAATGTAACCGCGCTATAAATTAATATCAGCATTATCTGTGATTAATCGCTGTTATCAAAAAAAAATAATTGAGAAGGAGAAGAAGAAGAAGAAGAGATTTCTCAGTGAGAAAAAAAAATTAAAAAAAAATCAATGACTTACAAAACGTGTCAAAGTGAACGATAATTATTTTAACGAAAGTGAATTTTTTTTTTCATTCATTCAAAAGAAAACTGAAACAAAAATGTAAACATACAGGAAATGATAATTGCTCAGCACTATTAACATCTATTAAATTCTGTGCCAATTATCAAGGGGAGAGATTTTCATCATCTGCGCTTTTCATCAATTTCAACAAATTAAAGGTAATTTTTTTTTTTTTTTTTGAGTGTTTATTATTTTTAATTGGTTTTTTAATTTTTCTCTTCGTTTTCCTTTCTTGCTTCCTTACATTTTTCTTTAGTTTCTTTTTTCATTTTTTCTTCTTTTTCCTTTTTTTCTTTTCCTTATTCTTTCTTTTTCTTTTTTCTTTTCATCTTCTTTTCTTTGCCTTTCCTTCCCTTTATTCTTCCATTCATATTCATTTACTTTTCTTTAGCCTCTTCTTTTCCTTTTCATTTCTATTTCTTTTCTTTGCCTCTTCTTTTCCTCTTCCTTTTATTTTCTTTTCCTTTCCTTTCCTTTTCTCCTTTTTTTCTACTTTTGCTTTTGTTTTCTTTTTCTTTTCCACTATTTTCTTTACCTTTCTGTTTTTTCTCTTTTTTTTCTCCTCTTTTTTCAAAGAAAGTTAAATTGACACTTAATTGTGTTTTAATTTAGTTTTAATTTCATCATTTATATTCTTTATGTATATAAGGAGAAAATTTTATATTTAACTTATTGAGTGAGTTGGCAATTTAATTTGGATTCATTGGAAATTAACCGTTTCCTGGAAAAAAAAGAATTTAATGATAAGAGAGCTATTGGTTAATATTTATTATCTTGTGACCTAATAGCTGTCAGACGGGAATAGTAATTCAGTTTAGAATTAGAATTAATTATTCTATATTCTTGCTTTAATAATATCATTTTCCATTGAAAAATGAATTTATGAAGTCCGCATCTTGAATTACTTCTTACTAAATTCTTTTCTAATTTATTAATTGTAAATTCAATTTTTTTAGAATTTACAATTTTCTATTTAATTTATTTATAATTTACTCTAATTTATCCTAATTTTTTACCATTTAGTAATTTTATATTTAATTTATTCATAATTTCTTTATAATTTTCTTTATTTTTTTAATAACTTCTCATTTTATTCATTTTTATGATTTTTAAATTTCATTTCATTCTTTTATATAATTTTAAAAATTTATTTTATTCACTTTTGAGATAACATTTTTTAAAAGATTTATTTTCTATTTAATTAAAATTTTAATCATATTAATATACTGAATATTTAAAAATGATATTAACGTCGACGGATAAAAAGTATAATCTTACAATTAAAAACGAACAACTTTTTCTAAACTAATTGCTAATACTTTGTCAGTCTTTCATTTTTCAATGGCAAAGAAAATATCTCTCTCTGAAATGGGGAATAATACTAAATGTCAAAGTAAGAGTATTAAAGAGTATTAAATTTTTATGGCTTTTTTAAAATTCTTATTTATATGAAAATTTTTCTATATTACACAATATAAGTTCGTTATTAATACATAAATTTTAAAAAGAAACTCAAATTGAAAATAATGTAATCAATACATAGACAAGAGAATAGCTTAATTAGTACATAAATTTTTCACTATATTATTATTTTTAAAGCGAGAATTTTGTTTTTTTCTTCTTTCAAAACTATCCATTATGCTTACGTGCCAAAAAATGAAGTGTGCAAAAATAAAAAAATGTTTGTTTCAAACGTGAGTCATTTCAAAATTTACAAAAAAAAAAAAATTTATAAATGAAAATACGGCGGTAATTTAAAATTGAGAATCGATAAAAATAACGGTTCGCGCACTGAGTTCAATCTGTTATCTAAAATAAAAAAAATCAGGTTTATTATTTGTGAAATTTAAAAGATTTTTTTCATTAATTTTCTCTTTTTAATATTAAAAATAAAAAAAATTTAGAAATTAAAATATAATTGAAATTTAAATTATGTAAAAAGTAGGAGTAGAGAGAAGAAGATGACTCCTAATAATAGTAAAACTAATGTAATTTTTTTGCGTTATATTTTTTTATGCCCTTAAAAAGATGCAGATAAGATTTGAAAATTGCAAAGTGTTGAGGGGGCGTGTATCAGTTTAATTCATGTATGTATCTATGTATAAACGAAAATCATTTTTGGCGGAAATCCAGCCAAACTCTGAAACTGCCAAAGAAATTATCGATCGACGCACGTCCTTTCGCTCGACACGCCTCGTAAATCCTTTTAAACTTAACGATCTTAGATTAACGATCTCTGCAATTTAACCAACGCATTTGCGCTAAAACCAACAATAACGAAATTTACACGACTATTCCCGAATTTAATATTTCAGCTTCAAAAAAAAGAAGCAGAAGAAACATCTTTTTTAACAATATTATTCCTACAATTTTAGATTCTAACTTTCAATTTCCGTCAAGAATTATTTTTTCTTCCCTAATATTCTTCTTTTTATATTTTCTTAATTTAATTTTCTCCTTTGTTTAATTTCTTCGTATTTTTCATTTTAATTAAATTTGATTTTAAATATTAAATTCTACACAATGGATATAAGTTTCAAATTAATAATATAAACAAAACATCTCTATGAATTTTTATTTTTTACGGTAATAAAATTAAATAAAAATGTAAAACAATTATTACAATAATTAATGTATATTTAAATAATTGTTTAAAAAATAAATATAATTTGACACTCGCGAGTATTGAATACAAAAGGGGATGAGAATCATATAAATTTACACGTGATCGAGTCATAAACGCATCACGTGCATTGACCATTAATATTCCATGTGACAAAATTCTTTTGTTTTTTATTACGTAACAATACAATATCAGTCTATCTCATTCCATAATTACGATCCATCACGATTCAATTCATAATTAATTTGATTTAATTTGGTATCACTCGATTGCATTCGTTTAATTCAATTTGGTACCAATTTAATTCAATTCGATTCAATTTATTCAATTTGGTACCAATCTGATTCAATTTATTGGTACCAATTTAGGACAAATTAGTATCAACTTAGAAAAAATTTGATATATTTTAGTAACAATTTATGTTAATTTGAAATTAATTTCATTTAATTTGGTACCCCTCGATATAAATGCTACCTATTTAGGGAAATACTTTGGTAACAAAATCAAATCAAATTAATATTCAGCTGGTACTAATTTGATTCAATATGGTACAAATTCAGGGCAAATTACTATTAACGTAAAAAAAAATTCCATTCAATTTTTTAACAATTGATGGCAATTTGAAATTAATATGATTCAACTTGGTACCACTTGATTCCACTTGCTACCAATTTAGGACAATTTTGAATCAATTTAGTACCAGTTCGAATAAAATTTGTATCATTTGATTCAATATAGTATCATTCAATTCAATTTGATACCAAGTTGATTATATTTGGTAACAATTTGATTTAATTTGGTACCACTTGATTCAATTCGGTACCATTCGATTCACTTTGGTATCAAAATTTGATTCAATAAATATCAACTTGGTACCACTTGATTCAATTTGGTACCATTCGATTCAATTTGGTATCAAAATTTGTTTCAATAAATATCAACTTGGTACCAATTTGATTCAATTTGATATCAATTTAATACAATTTGATATAGAGTCGAACAAATTTGATATCATTTGATTCAATTTAGTAATAATTTGAATCAATTTAGTATTAACTTGATTCAGTTTTTATATCCCTTGATTCAATTTTGTACATTTGATTCAATATGGTGTCAATTTCATTCAATTTAGTATCTGTTTGGTATTAAATTGATTAAATCCAGTGTGAATTTGTTTCCATTAAGTTTAAAATTGGTACCAATTAGATTCATTAATTCGGTACCAATTTGAGTCAATTTAGAATTAACTTGATTCAATTTGGTACATTTCATTCAATATGGTAACAATTTGAATCAAATTAGTGTCAATGGGGTGTCAAGTTGAGTCGATTTATTATCAGCTGTATTGAATATGGTGTCAAATTGACTTAATAAAGTATCAATTTGATTTAATTTAGTTTTTATTTGGTATACATTAGATTCAATTTACTACCAACCAGATTCAATTTTTTACTGATTTAATTGAATTTGGTATCAAGTTGAGTCAATTTAGTGACAATTTGATTTAGTTTTGTATCTGTTAATTCAATTTAGTGTCAATTTAAATTTATTTTGTGTGAATATGCCATAAATTTCGAAAAAATTTGAGTCAAATTAGTAACAATCTTATTGAATTTGGCATCATTTGGCAATTGATTGTATTCAATTTGATGTCAATTTGTATAAGTTTTGTATTATTTATTTATTTTGGTATTAAATTGATTCATTTCGGTACTCACTTGAGAAAATTTTTCTGTGAATTTAATTCAATTTAGAATAACTTCATTCAATTCGGTGTCAATTTGTATCAATTTAGTTTCAATATGGTATCAATTTGGAATCAATGTGAGTCAATTTTTCATCAATTTGATTCAAATTGGATTCATTTGATTCAATTTCGTCTTAATTTATTTTAATTTAGTAGTAATTTGAAATTAATTTAGTCTAATTTAGTTTCAATTTGTACCAGTTGGAATTAATTTCGTACCAATTTGGTGTCTATTTGATTTAATTTAGTATTAATTTGGTATCAATTGGATTCAAATTTAGTTTTAATTTTGCACTAATTAGATTTAATTTCTTATTAATCTGGCTCAATTTGGTAGCAATTCTATATTATTTGATACGAATTTGATATATTCAACTTAACAATTTTTTCATCAAATAAGAAAATATTATTTTATTAATTACTTTTCATATAACGGTGGAATTATCTAATATTTGCTGGCAAACGTATACAATTGAATAACAGTTGAACGAATCCTTTAAAAAAGAAAAATTTAAAATCGATAACGGTAAACGCCATATTGCTAAGCGTAAGCAAATGACGTATATATCAATGACGTAGTATAGTTTCAATATCGATTCCCTCTCGGGTTTCATAATTATTATGGTCTCTTTCTCTTTGCTTATTATTATTATTATTATACTTATGCGTGCAGAGAGAGAGAAAAAAACAGTAGGTCGGATGAGAATGAACCTGTGAATAAAGTCGATATATCACTTTTACCCTTATGTAAAATACCTTCACCCTCAAAGAAACCTTCCAAATGTCAAGGATCACTTGTTTTTACTTCTATTTCTCTTATTTCTTATTTTTTTCAATTTTCTTTTTCTTTCATCGTTCTACATTTAATACAAATCGAGAGATTTTTGAATATCATTTAAAGAACTCATTGCCGATATTAATTTCAATATTTTCAATAGAAAATAGAGACTATAAAGAATTTTTCTTACCGACTTATATAGCAAAGAAACAAAAAATATAAAAAAGGATAAAAGAAAGAAAATAATTTTCCACTGAAATTGAATTTAAAAGCAGATCGTCTTTCTTGTGTTTCAGATGAAGCTACACGAGAAAAAGGAGTCGGCTATTCATAAAGTGCAGGAGGTCGCACTAAAGGAAGTGAATCTAACAATGGAATACGATGTTGAGAAGAATCTTGGCGAAGGTAGTTTCGCAAAAGTATTACTCGCAACACATAGAAAGACCCAAACAAAAGTTGTTCTAAAAGCCGTTCATCGTGAATTAACAACGGAAAAGGAATTTTTCCGTGAATTCCACTATTCCTATCATTTAAGTCCCCATCCAAATATTCTCAGTTCATATGCAGTGGCCTTTAGAGCGGAGAATTGTTACGTTTTCGCTCAGGAATATGCAACATACGGGGATTTAGCCGGTAATGTTAAAGCCGGTGGTTTAAGTGAGGATGTCTGTAAGAAAATTGCATCACAATTATCATCAGCACTTGATTTTCTTCATTCAAAACAATTGGCACATCGCGATGTTAAATTAGAAAATATCCTCGTCTTCACACAGGATATGTCAAAAATAAAACTCTGCGATTTTGGTTGTACAAAACGTGAGGGTACACTCGTTAATAAAATCACTTGCACATGGGTACAATTCCTCCCACCCGAAATACACGAGGTGATAAAAAATGAACGCTACACATGTAAACGTAGCGCCGATTGCTGGCAATTTGGCATTGTTCTATTTGTCTGCTTAACTGGTAATCCACCATGGCAAAGTGCAGTACCAATTCAAGATCCTGATTATTCATCATTTCAACGTTGGCTCAAGACACGACTCAATGTTCCATCGACATTTAGACGTTTTACACCGCGACTATTGCGTTTCTTTAGGCGTGTCTTTGAGCATAAACCTGATAAAAGGCCGCAAGTGACGGAAATTAATAAATACATGAAGGACGCGTGGTTTGTGAATAAAATTAATCACAGTGCAACATCGACGTCAGTTGATGTTAGCGATAGTTTTATGAAGAAGGGCGACAGTTTAATGTATCTCGATACAATAATTGACGATCGTCATTATGTCGATGAGAATAAAAATAAATTACGAAAGCTCCTCAGTAGTTATGGCCTTGAAACAACAGTCGATCAGAAAGTTGTGACCAAACGAATTTGGGAATGGGTGATGCAATGCGAAACTCATGTGGGTGAAACGGGACTAATCAGTGGATTCGGCACTGATACCATGTGAAATATAGTCAAGTCATCGAGTGAACCATGTCTGAAGAGAACATTTCAAGAACGAAATCACGTGGGCAATGGCCTACGCTGTTCATTTATTGCCAAATAATTAAAATAATCAAGAACCAAGTGTTACTGTGATCTCTAATTTTATGTTTAATTGTAATATTATAATTATCAACATAATTATCATTACCATAATTATCATCATCATTATTATCATTATTATCATCATCATTCTTATCATCATCATCATCATCATAATTGCCATCATCATAATTGTCATCTTTCTTAACATCATCATCTTTCTTATCATATGATAAGAAAGATGATGATGTTCATTATCATCTTTCTAATCGTATGATAAGAAAGATGATGATATTTTTACAGTTCTCTTGAAAGTATCAAATTGACACTAAACTGGATCAAATTAATACAAAAAATAATATTAATATTTAATTAATATTAATATTTTATTTAATCTACATATTTGGTATCAATTCGTTGAAATTTGATCATGTTTTCTACAGATATCAAATTGAGACAAAAAAACGTATAAAAACAGTTGCGAAGCAACGTTTTCATACTTTTTTTGTCTGAATTTGATATCTGCAGAAAAACTAATATTTTTAAGTAAACAGTGATTATAATTCTCATCATCATTGTCATCAATATTACCATTAAAATAAGTACCATCAAACTTCTTTATTCTCACATCAAGAAGAAATTCACGCATTTAAAAAAAAATTTTCCTTTACATTTTTTTTTTATATATTTTATTTTTAAATATTTCTTATGCCTAAGGTGAAAAATACATATTTTCTCGAACGACTAAATTTATCATTCTCTAACTCTCTAAATCTAAGATTGAGTAAAAATTGAGCCACTTATTTACTTTATACTAGAGTTGTGCAAAAAGCTCCATCGAGTATTTCAAGCTTTTCGTTTTTCTAGCAGAGCTGAGCAGAATCAATCCGAACTTGAACCAAATTCCATCCGACACGTGCAGTATTAAACCAAAAATAATTTTGAGCACTTGAATTTTTCGTGCACTCAAATATTTTTGAGTAACTAAAACTTGAGCCTGGCTTGAGTATCGAGCCCGGCTCGAGCTCGACCATGCTATTCGAGCTTTTTGCACACCTCTACTTTATAGTAAAAATTTTTCAGTCATTTTTTACTAAAATTGTAGTAAAAAATAATTATAACTATACTAAAAAATGGTACAAGGAGAAAAAGCTCTTCATCTAAAATAGCGATAAGTTTATCTATAGAAAATTTTAATCGCTTTAGTTAAATAATATTTTTGAAAAATAATATAGATTTTTTAAAAGAATTAAAAAATTTCTATATAATTCCAATTTAGTAAAATATTAAATATTTTCAAAGAAATTTTTGAAAAATAATATAGATTTTTTAAAAGAATTAAAAAATTTCCAAGTAATTCCAATTTTGTAAAATATTAAATTTTATCAAAGAATTTTTAAAAAATAATAAGTTTTTAAAACAAATTTTGAATAATTTATGAATGGTGACAAGATTTTTTAATAGAATTAAAAAATTTCCAAACAATTGAAATTTAGTAAAATGTTACATTTTTCAAATAATTTTTGGAAAATATTAAAAAAATATGTTTTCCATTTTTTTAAGAATTTTAATTACAAATAGAAAAATTCAATATTTTTCAAAAATTCCAAAAGTTAGTCTAAAAAGTAGAATTTTTAAAAAAACTTTAAATTTCCTTGTTTGGAAGAAAATTGAATCTTTTAAAATTATAATGAAAAACATTCTAAGAATTAGTTTGTTAAAAATATTATTATGTAATTTATCGAAAATAATTGAATTTCTTTAAAGAATTTTTGGACAATTTAAAAAAATGAATTCAAAAAATCAAGGATTTCAATAAAAAAATTTTGAAAAGATTGATTTCTCAAAAATTTTAATAATTACAAAAAAATCACACTTTTTAAAAAATGTTAACGTAATTATTTTTTTGTAGATATTTGAATTTTCGGAAATATTTAATATTGAAAATAATTAAATTTTAAAAAATTATATTAAAAAAATCTAGGAATTACTTTTGTTAATAAAAATTTTATTATAATATTCTTTGAAGCTAATTTTCATTTCTTCGATTTTCAAATTTTTATTTCAAGATTTTATCATTGAAATTTTTGAGAAATGTATTATTTTCATAATTTGCTGTTAAAATTCTTCGAAATTCGATTATCAACAATTTTGAACAAAATTAATTAATTAATTTTGAAAAAAATTAATAATTTTATAATAAAAATAATAAAATTTTACTAAATTTCAATCAGTTCAAAACTTTTAATTATAAGAATTGAAAATTTAAATTAAGATAAAATGGAAGACTAACTCTTCTGGGAATGGAAACCCATTTTTAATAATATAATTCGAGAATTTGTTTTTAAATAAAAGTCGAAAATTTTGAAAATAAACGAAAAAAGTCATCTTTTTTCAAAAGAGTAAAAAAAAATCCAAAATATCATTATCCAGTTGAAACTTTTTTTTCTTGTAATATTCTATTAAAAATTTAGTAAATACTTGAAAAGAAAAATTAAAAAAAAATATTCTTTACAAATATGATTCAGTGGTGAATCAATTTTTACTAATTTAGATTTAGTGAGAAATCTATATTCTGCATCATCGTGGACCCTGGAGGTAATAAATGTGGGCTACGTAGTGACAATAATCTTCCAAAAAAAACTCATTTACATTACAAACACTGTCATTATTTTAGAAATAAAAAAAAGTCTTTCTAGAAGGTAATTTATATCTGAATTTTATTTGCAAAAAAAAATAAATAAATAAATGAGCAAAAAAAAACCATAATTGTTCTGAGAGTTTGTCAATCGTCTCGGATTATACATGTGTCTAAAGTACGAATTTTGCCCAAATAACACAACATATTTGCTAAAAAAAAAGTATTAAAAAAATTACTAGTCATCAATATTCAAAACTACTGTTGCCTCAATGTTGCAAATTTTCAATTTTCATTCCGAATTTCAATATTTTCCGAAAAGCAGAAAAAATGAAATAATTTCCGCAATTTTTATGCAACATTATTGCAATTGCATTATGTAATTGTAAATTAATTAATGAATAATGAATATTAATGAATAATTAATTTATAATTGGTATTTTTAGAATTATTTAAATTTATTAAAATTAAACAATTAGAATTTAACAAAATAAATTATAATTAATGCAATATGTTGGATTATTAGGGTTTCATCTTCAACGAATTGCGCCAGAATGGAAAGTTTATAGCAAAAGTGACGTCAATGAACGAAGAATAATTAATGATAAAAATAAAATTTCTATTAAATATGGGAAAATTAACAAACAATGTATATTCTTGTAGAAGAATTATATATACATATTATACTGAACAAAAACACCTAAAAAAAGTACCAGAAATTTAATTAAAACAGAAAAAAGTGGTATTCAAGTTTTGTTATAAAATATCCAAAATAAAGTTTTTAAATTTGCAATAATTTTTATTGATTCTCATAACGTGGTACGTGTGCGAAAATAATTTATTGAAACTAAACGTCGTAAATAATGATTATTTTAAACATTATTTTCTTATTATACCAGGATTGCGATTTTGTAATAATTTGACTTTGACTTTCGATTCGACTTTGAATTTAACTATAACTTTAAATTTGATGTTATCTTTGATTTTCATTTTTAATTCGACTTTGACTCTGGAAGTCAAAGTAAAAGTCACAGTGTAAATGAAATTCAATGTCAAAGTCAATGTTAAAGTGAAAGGCAAAATTGAAAGTGAAAGTGAAAATAAAAGTCAATGTCAAAGTCAAATTACAAAATCGCACCCCTGGATAAAAAAATCGAAACATTCTATATACTCATAAAATCGTTTTCCTAACATACGTTCCTTTTATATAAAAAATATTTAAAATATATTCACAAAAAAAGATTAACAATGGAGTAAAAACATTTCTAAAAATATTTTTTTTAATTAATCTTGATTATTCCAAAAAATGTCCCCTTCTATTAAAAAATTAAATTTCAATTTAATAATAAAAGTCCCCTTTGTAGTAAAATAAATATAAATTTTAATTGTTTTCTAAACAAAATTTTAATACTAAAATATAAGAAGAAAAAAAAAAGTTACTGTGTATTTTTGAAAAATATTTATACATAATTTTACATTCATTGGGTCCAAGATAAGAACTGAAAAATTTTTTTTGAGAAAAGACAACTGTATATGAAAACATGTTGGAAGACTAAAAAAGAAAAATAAATCAAGAAAAAAAACCACGACGTTAAGTTTCAATCATCAGTGTTTTCTTTTTTAACACTCGACGATATTATTATAAAGTGAAAAATTAAAAAGGTCCTTCAGTCCTGTTTCAAATATATTGTAATACTGAAAAAAAAGACGATTAAAAAAAAGAAATTGTAAAAAATAAATATAAAAATAAAATTGTAAGGAAAAAAAATGTTGTATAGTTAAAATTGTAAAAAAAAATACAAATAATTTAGAAGGGAACGAAGAACCTTTGTTATTTTGTTGTAAAAAAAATGTAGATTAAATGTTATTCTCTGTATAGAATCATTTCTCTTTTGTATATAGAAAATAGAGTTTTAAATAGAAAAACGTCTTTCATTTAATTGATTACGGCATTTTTAATTTATATAATAACGTATTTTTAATTAGAAATAAGAAAAAAATGTTAGTTTAAAGAATAAAAATCATAAAATAAATTATTATCGTATCGACACAAAGAAAAGTACGTGAGACCTACTTTTTTTTTTTAAAGAAAAAAAATGCTTTAGACAAGTTTTGTCATAATTTCCCGCATATACCGAATATCTTGTATTCTTATACATATTTAAATAAATTCATAAATAAATATACATAAAATTCTTTAAAAATATATAATTAAGCGCATTTTTTTTTTACAAATATATATTTCACTTTATTTCCTTTATTTTTATATACGTAAAAAAATATATATATATTCTTAAAAATTTAATTTTTTCGACTAATATATCTTTCATACATATATGTTAATTGTGAAAGAAATATTTACAAAATATGGTGACTAAGAAATTAATATTTGTATATTTAACTTTTTGAAAGTGTCGACATATCTTTCTACAATTTTTCTACATTTACAAATTTATGAATTTTTGAGAACAAAAAACAAATGTTATATAATTTCACGACACACTATAAAAAAAAGTTATCACGCAGCGATTCCAAATAATATAAATAATAATTGTAATATTGTAATTTATAATCCAACGTGATATTAATACCTTTAGATCAAGTATTCGCAATTTTTTTTGTTTGTTAAATTGCACGAATAATCCACGAAAACAGATGAAAATGATATTAAATAATTGCATAATAATATTTTGTATATATTGAAAATAAACGTTGATATTGTAAAAATAGTGTTTTTTTCCTTCTTTCCCCATTTCTTGAAATTTCCATAATAGATTTTAATTTTGAACATTAAATAATAAAAAAAAATAAAAGTGGAAAATTTTCATTTTTGATTGTATTTGTTTTTTAAGAAATTGATAAAATTAGGTATAGTTTTCTAATTGTAGTTATATAATTTTTTGATAATATACTGGTGCATTATTTTAATGTAATAATTTTAAAATAGAATTTGTACCCTTAAGAGAATTTTGAGCTTGCCAGAGTTTCATGTGTCATGCTATCAACATCATCCGTGGGTGGTTGTTTCCAAGGAAACACCTACAACCCGGATGAAACTCCCTTTGTGTGTAAGGGAAGTTAATTTTGCAAAAAAAAAACAAAGAATTTAAAAAATTTTAATTTTAAATAATTTAAATTAAAAATTTTGAACAAATTAGTTTACTGGAAAATTTTTATTCAAAGTTTTTAGAAA